ATATAGTTTTTTAAACATGAAATCTCTGTAGATTATAAATGTATATGTTAATGGAGAAAAATGAATGGTTTATCTTTACACAGCATATCATGTTGTTAAAATCTGCTCACAGGGGGACTTCTAAATTATACGATTATTTTCAATATTCAAAAACAGATTCACTTTTGTAAAATGTCTCCAATATTCAATCTGAACCTCACTCATTCAGGAAACAGCTACCTCATCTCTGCAAGTGTTAACAGTCTGCTAGAAGCTGAGTGCACCTGGTGGGTCATCCTGCCACTGTGAGTTTGTATAGCACATTTCTTTCAAGTTTTGATGCTAGGAGCTCCCTCTGAGTCCTAGGCTACAGGAGGAACAGCTGAAGAGTTTAAAGATAAGATAATGCAACTCTTCCAGGTTCCAGAACCAAGGAAATATACGACTTATTTGCATTATCAGGTTCCTGAGTAAAGGGGGTTTGGGTTCTGACATTAAAATAATCGTGTCAGTTTATTATGGGTATTACAACAAAACTTCATCCTTTGCCAAAAACTATAGGATACTCAAATTCAGCGAAAAGACAACACACTTGGTGCCAGACAACTGTCAGACAACTGTTAGATTGCAGGCGTCATCTGCACAAAAATCCTCACCTGTATTTCTAGTCACTGCACCTGTAATGCGGTACTCACAGAGAAGTCACTCAACAGAAGTTACGGAATGAGGGAATAAACAAGTAAATCTTTCCACGGTTTCTCTGACACTGTACATGTGATACTTCTGTTTCTTAAAAATCTATGAAAGGAGGATAAAATTTCTGATGCTTTTTAAAAACAGCATACAGTATAGACTATACTTCTGATGATAATCTATCTGCTACTTTTTACATAAGAAAGAAGAGCAATACTTCAGATATTAAACTATCACTTTACATAGCAAATTACTGGGTTTGAAAAAGCTTTCCAAACCTAGACAAGTTCCCTTTATAAATGTCTCTACATAAACGGTGTAGACATTTTTAGTTCCCTATGGCATTTTATGTAAATTATTTCATTTGATGTGATGAATCCAATTGTTCAAAGTAACACAACACAACAAGTGCTTGCACTGGGCTGGCAGTGATGACTCAAACCAACTTCCACCGGAGCCAAGGCCGGGCAATGCGGAAGTGCAGGAAACTGAAAGCAGACAGGCAAGAGAAAAGGGGAAAGCTGGCAAAGAAAGAACAAACTAGCATGCCCTAACACAAACACGGGCGTAGAAAGAGAACCTGAGGGGAGGAAGGACAGGGAGGTCTGGGAAAGGGGACAGAAAAGGACCGCCTGCAACAGCACAGGGACGGGGTTGGGGGGGGCAGGCGCGTGTGCCCCGGGGTTCCTAAGTGCACGAAAAAGGCTGTTCATAATTACTTGGTTATTAAGAGATCATTTTCAATATCCCCTAATCACAAAAGGAAGGAAGCAATAAAAAATATTTCAGAAACTATTCCAGTGAGATTAGCCAAGTGTGACAGCAGAGAGCCCCAAAAGGCCAAGAACATCATTTGATTTCTCATCCTCAGCACCAAACACAGGGAAGACTATTAATAGCATTTTACTGAAAGCACAAACACAAAAAGTGTTTGAAGGCCAGGCATGGTGGCTCACCGTGGCCTGTAATTCTAGCACTTTGGGAGACTGAGGCAGGTGGATCAATTGAGGCCAGGAGTTGAAGACCAGCCTGGGCAACATGGTGAAACCCCGTCTCTGCTAAAAATACACAAAAATTACCAGGGCATAGTGGTACATGCCTATAGTCTCAGCTACTTGGGAGGCTGAGGCATGAGAATTGCTTGAACCTGGGAGTTGGAGGTTGCAGTGAGCTGAGATTGCATCACTTCACTCCAGCCTGGATGACAGAGTGAGACTCCATCTCAAAAAAAAAAAAGGTTCAATTAAAATACTTCATGTTCAAATCTAAAATTAAAAGACATTTTTAAAATAAAAATCCTAAGTTTTCACTTATAAGGATACGCACAATTGCCTGAATATTTCATTTAGTCCAAAACCTCATTCTTAAGGTACCAGAAAATACTAAGCATTAGTGATTTTTAGCATTGAAACTTTAAAAACTCCTTTCCTGACAGTTAGGCAGACTTTGTTAAACTATGCTTCTGAGACTGGAGAAGGGAGGACGTATTCAGAAAGCAAATGTTTAACAATCTGCTTGGCACTGTCATAGGAAAGTTATCAGTTTTAAAGTCATATATATGTATCTTTTGGGTTTCTTAATATAGCTTAACTTAATAAACCAATATAATCTTAGAAAAGGAGACCATTATGTATAACTTAATAGAAAAGACAACTTTAAACACATATAATTTCCACTGTTAGTTGTTATCCAGGTAGAAGTGATACTGCGTTTTGAGTCTGAGGAGGGAATATTCCATTAGTTGTAATACAAAACATTAATAATTAGTCTGCCATATTAAAATATTTTCCCCCAATTTAAACAATTCTTTTATTTCTTAGAAATAGGATGACTCAGGTGAGTACAGTTTTAAATTTAGTGATGTGGGAAAAAATAATTTGGGAAAGGGATGTTAATTGTAGGCTTTGTATATACACATCAATAGATGACTGAAACACACAGGAGAAATGCTACAGGCCTTTGCTACATCCATGACAAGACCTCTGTGCATCTTCAACACAGCTGACTGGGAGGAGGCTAAAGATAAAGGCTACCAAAACTCAAAGAATCGATCTGGAGGAGACATCTGGCAAACCAGATGACAGAAATTGATCCAGCCAAACACCTTTCAGACAGAGGCGAAAACTGAAATTCCAAAAGTTCATACTATCCCCTGAAATCACTCTCATGAGTTACTGGGGAAAGATAGTTCTAGAAGGTGCACCATATGATGATCAGCATGTAACTAGTGCAGTGTTGAAATGGAGGAAAACGTTTTATAAGGTGGGCAACACAACAGTAGCACTCTGATCCTTCTTCACAAGTTATACCTAAAAAGGTAAAATTAAGACCATATGACTTTTCCCTCTAGGCCAACTTGATTACTGGCATGAAAAAACGGCAGTCAGATAATAGTAACATTTTTGGTATTACAGCTAAGATTTGAATAGGAGTATAAGCTTTGTTTTGCTAACTTCCTGTACCAGAGATTTAGTTAAAATATACAAGAGAATGAAAACTGGATTAAGTGCTTTACCAAGAGCTCTAATTTCTTAAAAAACTATTTTTAGGCCGGGCACGGTGGCTCAAGCCTGTAATCCCAGCACTTTGGGAGGCCGAGACGGGTGGATCACGAGGTCAAGAGATCGAGACCATCCTAGTCAACATGGTGAAACCCCCTCTCTACTAAAAATACAAAAAATTAGCTGGGCATGGTGGCGTGTGCCTGTAATCCCAGCTACTCAGGAGGCTGAGGCAGGAGAATTGCCTGAACCCAGGAGGCGGAGGTTGCGGTGAGCCGAGATCGCGCCATTGCACTCCAGCCTGGGCAACAAGAGCGAAACTCCGTCTCAAAAAAAAAAAAAAAAAACAAAAAAAACTATTTTTAACATTGTAGAGGCCGGGCGCTGTGGCTCACGCCTGTAATCCCAGCTCTTAGGGAGGCAGAGGCGGGAGGATAGCTTGAGTCCAGGAGTTCGAGACCTGCCTGGGCAATACAGCGAGACCCCGTTCTCCACAAAAAGGAAAAAAACAAAAGACAACATTGTAGAAAAATATATATAACATGAAACTGCCATTTTAACTCTTTGTAAGTATACAATTCAATAGCATTAATTATGATAAAAATGTGCACCATCACCACTATCTATTTTCAAAATTTTCCATTGCCCCAAATGGAAACTCCGTGCCCACTAAGCAGTATTAAATAATTTTGCTAAGCAAAAACTAAGAAGAAAAACAATAGTCTGTAGAGAATTAACTGCAAATGGCAATCAAGCTGTCCGGTTAAAATAAACAAGAGAATGAACAGTACGCCAAGTGCTTTACTATTCTAATTTTTGCAAGAAAAAAATTAAGAAGAAAAGTCATAGCTCATAGAGAATTGACTATAAATGGTAATGAAGGAAGATAGTAATATAGCATTTATAATTACCTCAGAAAGCTTTTCAGTCTTCTATTTTAACATATATTTAATTGCCTACTTCGGTTTTGTTACTTTCTCATTTCCCTTTATTTATATTTTTAATGATAATGCTGATTTAGAATACAGTGAGTACAAATGGGACTTCAAAGTGAACTTGGGGGGGAAATGGTGAAGAAAAGGAAATGCAGCTAGTAGCCTAATTTTCAGAGAAGAAAACAGGCGTACAGAGGTAAAAAGTAAGTTCACGAGGCTCTAGCTAAACGGTGGGACCGTGCTGGAACTAAGGCAATCGAATTCTGCCCTACCACACAGGCCACCTTGGGGAGGCTGCTGTCGGGTGGGTATGGCTTTTATCTTTTCTTTTTCCAAACTTTTTTTGTATTATCAAACAATGAAAAATGGTCATTTTTCCTTGATCTGTTTTTTCAACTTAAGGTTGAAAATTAATCCAGTACCTCTTATATTTTAAAATGTGTCCTCCATTCTTTACACCGTTTTAAAAGATTTTAAAAATATATTAACAAGAGGAAGAAACAGTAAGTACATATTATATTTTATCTGCTAGATGTAGGAAAAGAAAAATGAGACTTCCTTAATAGAATGTGACTATTCTTGTTTTGATTCTAATTTCTGGAACTGCCATGCAACAGTCAGGACCATGAAAAAAGAATATATCCAGTAACACTCACTCTAGCTGAGGGCATGCAACAGAACATCTTGGAGTATGAACATTATCATGATTAGAAGTCATATTACTCAATACATACAAATATAAAAACTACTTATAATTAAAAGCTTATGTTAACTAAAATTTTCCCTCACATTTGAGACAAAGGAAAACTTACAAAAACAAAGCAATATTGAATATATATACATGTTTTTAAAATGCCATTTTACTTTTAATTGCACTTCATTTCTGATTTACCTCTGCAATCTCTATCCTTTTGGCAAGATCATCAAGAGAAAGACAGCTTTCATCGGAAGGCAGATTCTCCTGAAGACTATAGGACGCTTCTTCAGGAGAGAGATCTTGCAGGAGATCAGAGTCGTCGTCTTGGTTATCTTCAGATGAAAGCGAATCTTCGGTATCTTTTAAACATTCCTCTAAAAAACTGTTCAAATAGTCTTCTGTTTCTTTGTTGAGATGGTCATCTTTATCTCCCTTTTCCTCTGGGGCCATATACACCTCTGGAAGCGGTGTGCCTAAGTCAGATATTTTATCATTTCCACAGAGCACATTCTCAGAGCCCTCTGAGTCAGCCTGACCCTGTGGTGATTTTCCATCACTGTCCGTGAGACCAGCCTGCTGCAGCTCATTTAATTTATTGTTCTCAAGTTGGTCTGTGGGTAATGCCTCAGAAGCATCCCGAAGTGGCAAATGGAGTTCTTTTCTTTGAGCCTGTGTATATTTACGCTCAGAAATCAACGAAGGAGGTATATGGTCACAGCCTGGTAAAATCAATGGCTCTATCGCTAACTCGCTGGAAGGAAACACCTTAGGGTGTTCAGCAGTGCCCTCTGTTTTGGCCACACCCTGGCAGGCCGCTGTGTGAGCCAGCTGCAAGGGACTGTCATCTTCACAAGCACTCTCAGAAGCGGCTGGCCCAGACGGGCTCCCTGCCGTCTCCGAGGACTGGGTGTGGAGGGCTAACGTGGCTTCAGCGCTGCACAGCGGCTCCTCCATGTGGTCCTTTCCTGCAGTTACCGAAAGGCCTGGGGAATTGGCCTGCCCGTCCATCTGACTACGGCAGGGACAGCTCTCCAAGGGCTCTTCTTTATGTTGGCTTTCTTTATTTGGTTTTGTGTGAAGACAAGTTTTACTCTCTAAAGATGAAGAAAAATAAATCGTTTAAAATTCAAAACTACACTCTGTATAGGAGGGAACAGAAGAGACGTGAGCATATGTAACAATAATATTCTAACCCTCTCAAATGGAAATTCTATCTGTTGCATAATGGTGTCTTTAGGTAGAGGAAATACCTAAAATACTTAGTAAATAGTCCTTATACATGACAGGGATTATTCAAAAGCATGTGAATATGAATAAATCACTTAGACCTTATTATAATCAAAAAGTCATTTTCAAAGGTTTAAAACATATTCTGAACTTTATTAGCCTTCTACATTAAAATGAAGTTAGAGGCCAGGCGCGGTGGCTCAAGCCTGTAATCCCAGCACTTTGGGAGGCCGAGGCGGGTGGATCACAAGGTCGAGAGATCGAGACCAACCTGGTCAACATGGTGAAACCCCGTCTCTACTAAAAATACAAAAAATTAGCTGGGCATGGTGGCACGTGCCTATAATCCCAGCTACTCGGGAGGCTGAGGCAGGAGAATTGCCTGAACCCAGGAGGCGGAGGTTGCGGTGAGCCGAGATCGTGCCATTGCACTCCAGCCTGGGTAACAAGAGCGAAACTCTGTCTCAGGAAAAACAAAAACAAAAACAAACAAACAAAAAAGAAGTTAGAAAGATTATTTTCAGCACATTTAAGACATGATGTATTAAGTAAGTATTTTTACAGGATGAACCTCAGTAACACATTCATCACTTTAAATGTAAGAAAAGTAGTATTGGTCTGGGTTACTATGATTAAAGACTAACCTCGGTTCTGTTCAAATTTATAATTTGACCAGAATACCACTAATAAATATGTTTGCAAATTACTTGCAACTTCTTAAAGGGAGGTAGCAAAGGGCAGCAATAAAAAGAGTAAGTTTTTGCAACAAGTAGAAATGGGTTGAATTTTGACATCTCTTTCAATTTCTACTTCAAATATAACCAACTTATTTTTCTTCTACTTTAAAATGAAACAGTTAAAAACCTTTGTGCGAATAATGAATGAGAAGTGCACAGACTGGTAGATAACAGAGAAGCTTGCTCACCCTCACTTTATTGGTACACTTAGCATGCATGACTATTTTAGAAGTTTTTACTTTTTAATACTAATATGTATGTTTAACTTAGATAAATAATGAGCCAAAGGGGAAAATAAGCGAGAAAATATGATGATAATTTTATTCCATTTGTTTTTTCATTTAATGGCACTTTATTTTTCTTATCTTTTCTTTTCTTTTTTAGGATGGGGTTTCACCATGATGGCCAGGCTGGTCCTGAACTCCTGACCTCAGGTGATCCACCCGCCTCGGCCTCCCAAAGTGCTGGGATTACGGGCGTGAGCCACCATGCCCGGCTGGCACTTTGTTTTTCTTGCCTTTTTTTTTTTCCTTTTCACCCTGGACTCCAAAAGCATCGTGATGCTTTAATACTAATTGCCAACTGACAATTGAGGGCCATATCATTTCAAGCAAAAGGCATTACTGAAACGCTGGCTTTAGGTTTCAGAGAATCTGGTACTGAGCTACACCTCAACTCCGGGCTGCTGAGAGGGAGCTATTCAGTAGAGTTCGTACTTCCTCCCCTGACACGCGGACGCAAATATCAGACGAGGATCGGGAGAAGGAAGATGGGTCACCTTTGGAGAATATAGCATTCCCTCTCTCTTCCCACCCCAAAGAATCACTCAAACTTTGTGAGACTGCAAGAAAACACAGGCACATTTCATTTCCTTTCAGTTGCTGCTTTGCCACTGGGCTTCTTGGGCTGCCTCTCCCTCTATTAAAATGGGGGAAGGTTAGAGCAATGAGGGCCACAGCCAAGGGGAAAGGGGGCCAAGCCACTCCTCCACGAATTCCAGTACCCAAAGGTTCAGAAGATGTCCCCTGAAACATGTCCACAGGATTCAGAGACTAAGATTGGAGACCACAGTCCCATAAGTACTGTGAAAGCACGGGGTAGAGAGACTCCCTACCCCACATCCCAGAGGAATGGGGTGTGTTGCTTCCAGCTGAGGGTCAGTTACCTAAAGGCTGTTAAGTATCTAGGGGAGCCTCTTGGGAGCAAAATCCTCTGTAGCTGCTCCTGCTGGAGCCACCACATCCCCACAGAACAACCTGGGTTCAGCCATAAGCACCAGTACAGCTAACTCCAACCATGAGCAGACTATGTTCCCAGTCCTGGCTACTGGAGGGCAGCGAAGATAACTGGATACAATGAGATTTAACTGTGAAAATGAAGTTCAGGACTGAATAGGGCTAAGTTCTAAAGAACTGAAATGGGACTATTTAATAGCTAATAAGTGACTGAAACGTTACAGAATCCATCTGAGGTGCCATTCTATGAGTAGGAAGTGAGGTGGTGGACTGCAGCTATGCCACGAAATACAAACAGACAGATAAAGTACCAAATCTAATGAACTGTGACACCACTTAAGTGATGAGTAATAAAGACTGTCTATAGGTACAGTGAATTGTTTAAACAGCCTGAAAATGGTTGCTTCATCCCATCATTTAGAAAGACTACAGAAAATTACGGGGGAAAAAAAAAAAACCATCAGAATTTTGAAAAAGGCAAGAGTTCCAAACTACGTTTGGAGAGTAGCCCATATTGTTGACACTGCTCTTTAAAACACTGTTTGGTGAAACTTGGGCAACATTTCTTTCCCTAGAATTTAGTCCACACTCCTTCATAATAAGGTTATTCATGGTATATCTGGATTGTTGAAGCCTTTGATAATCCATACAAGGTACTCAGCAGAAGCAGGCTGCATTCAATTAGAAATGGGAAGACTCAGGTTCTAGCTGTGAATCAGAGCACCAAGCATGTGACTCAAACTCGGTGCCTCAGTTTCCCCACCTGCACCTCATGAATCCAAGCAGAGGCCAAGGTGGAGGAAGTGCTGGGCAGCAGCCATGCTAAGGAAGTCTCAAACTGAAACACACAGCCTGCAATCGCACTTTTCCCAATGTGCTCAACGCGAAGACACGTTCACACCCAAACTAGGCAGGTTTTGTGTTATTTTTCCTCCTTTAAAATTGTTATGAAGTTCATTTTACTGTGATTTCTGACATAAAAATGACTGGAAAAGAAAAGCCAGGAAGAACAGAGGATAGTAGGACTGACCTAAAGCAATATCCCTAGCTTGTCTCAGAAGTGAAAAGGAGATTAAGATTTGAAAGAATAAAAATATACTTTGTAAAGAGTAAAAGGGTGGCCGGGCACAGTGGCCCATGCCTGTAATCCCGGGACGTTGTGGGGCCGAGGTGAGAGGATCACTTGAGGTCAGGCCTTCCAGACCAGCCTGAGCAACACAGAGACTCCCATATCTACAAAAATTTTAAAAATTAGCGCGGTGGTGTGTGCCTATAATCTCAGCTACTGGGGAGGCTGAGGCAGGAGGATTGCTTGAGCCCAGGAGGCCGCTGCAGTGAGCCATGATGGTGCCACTGCACTCTAGCCTAGGCAACAGTGTGAGACCTTGTCTCAAAAAAAAAAGGTGGGGGGAGGGAAAAGGGCTAACTATGACGATATCACTACCACCACCACCACCATCATCATCATCAACATCATCATCATATCACTTCACGGCAACTCATCCGAAACCCCTGATACTTCCTCTTCAGTATCAGGGCTCTCAGGCCTAGGAACATGAAGCCTAGAAATGTACATTAATAATAAAATCAGATATCAAGGGGGAAAAAAACCTTAAAACATATTTATTTATTTTCTAAAGCTTTTATAATGAACAACATGCCAAACATTTAGAAAAAAGCCTCTTAAAATCTTTTGACATAGGCACAAGGTGGTATGAAATACATCATAAATGCTCTAGAAATGTATATATACAAACTAAAGTATATCATATGTTAGTAAGCAGAAAAGGGAAGAAATTAAATTGCTAAATTATCAAGATATAGAGTTTTAAATATCTAAATTTACAGAACAAATTTCTGATAAAGTGCATACAGTAACTGTTGAATTTTAAACAGAAAACAATGTATGAATATACCAAAACCAATCCAATTTAGAGCATTTTGTACAATCTCTCCTTATTCTGTTAGATATATATAACCACCTACTGAAACATAATAATCTTATGATTTTATAAGAACTTAGATTTTATAGTATCTACTACTAGATGTCTAAAAAGTAGAGCTACACAATATAAAAAGTCTTGTTTTGCTATTTTTCTACGAGATATACATACAAAAACGTAAATGCAAAAAAAAAAAAAAAAAAAAAAAATCCTCCACAGCAATTCAAATGTAACACTTGTAAAATATCAGAGGAGGCAGGTATCTTTTATGCTGCTCCCCGGCTTAAGTTAAAAACATACCTGACACTTTGGTGGTAGCTCCTGTTTCCTTTGGATCTTCAGACACTATTAGCTGTGTAGAGCATTTCCTTTCTGGGGACTTCTCCACAACTGCTATCTAAAGAGTTTAAAACAAGAAAACCCAACTTTTGGGGAAACTATTGCATTAAACTAGGAAGCTGAAAAGAACTTGGGAAAGGTTTCTTTATTTTCCAAAATAGTCCATAAAACAGACATATGACACAAACATTTTTCCTAGAAATATTTTCAAAAGAAACAATCTCTTACCTTGTGTTTGGATAAAAGAGGACTGTAGAAAAAAAGAAAGAAAAAATAATTAAAAAAAAAATTACAGCAGCAATACGCTTCCAAACAAATGTCACTGAAATGGCTATAAAAAAAAAATACAGCTTCTCTGGGTTCTAATATTAGCACAGAACATTTCCACGGCTGAAACATTACCACTGGCTCACATAGTTCAAAGTGCAGCTATATCATGTGTTAATCTCCTTAGATGGCCAATTACTATTGAAAACCCCCACAGACGCTACAAATGCTGAACTCCAGAAGGAAAAAAAAGAATGCTAACCTTTTCCTAATAAATAAAGACAAGTTCATATACACACATTTTTAAAATTTCAGCTTATGTCATTTTAGTCTAAAATAGATTATGGTTGAAGATAATTTTGTTGGAATTCTCCATGGAAACAGCTAACAAAAAGTAACTTTTAAATATTAAATTTTAGGGAGTACCAAAAATAACAGAATGCACATATCCATTAAAGGCTTGCACAAAAATGCTAATCACCACTTTACTCATAATATTCAAAAAATAAGAAACATCCCAAATGTCTACCAATAATAGAATGAATAAGCTATTGCACAGTCATCCAGTTAATGTGTACTGCAGTAAAGCAGAGGAAACCACTGTGACAGGCAACAACGTGGAACGAGACGTGCAGACGAGTGCAAGAAGCCAGACACAGGAATCTATACTCTGTGTGATCCGGTTTATATGAAACTACAGATCAGGCAAATATATTGTTGTACAGTCCAGACAGTGGTTACTATCGGGGGTGGGCACAAAGTTGGTAGGTGCATGAGGAAGCCTTCTGAGGGGCTGGAATATTCTATACCTTATACCTTGCTCAGAGTGGTAGTCACATAGACATACATGTTTATGTAAAAATTCATCAAGCTTGTATGCTTTATGTATAAGTTGAACATATTTTTAAATATTAAAAAATTTAACAGTAATAATATGGGGGGGGGAATTCTCCAAATCTTAAAGCATAAAGACACCATGCTCATATCACGTTCAAGAAATATTTGTTAGCAAGTCCTTTACCTGCTGCATGAGCTATGCAACAATGACCTGGCACCGTTTCAGTATTAATAGAGTTTTAGTTTACTCTCCATGATTCAGAGAGAACAGAAGAAGAAGTTCTCCTGTTAAATGGAGAACTTTTTTCTCCACAGAATGGAAAGTCTTTTAGCCTTTGTACTGAGAACTCACGTTCTAACTTTCAGAAATATGTACTAGCTTAAACACTATTGTGTCCCTTTATCCTCAGAAATCTGGATCTTCGAATAAGGACTTTTTTTTTTTTAAAGGTAAGTGCCTTATTACTATTATTTAGTTTTAAAAATCCAACTCTGGGGCAGGCACGGTGGCTCATGCCTGCAATACCAGCACTTTGGGAGACTGAGGCAGGTGGATTACCTAAGGTCAGGAGCTTGAGACCAGCCTGGCCAAAATGGTGAAACCTTGTCTTCATTAAAAATACAAAAATTAGCCAGGTGTGGTGGCACATGACTGTAATCCCAGCTACTCAGGAGGCTGAGGCAGGACAATTGATTGAGCCTGGGAGTGAGTGGAGATCGTATCACACTGCACTCTAGCCTGGCTGACAGAGTGAGACTGTCTCAAAAAACAAAAAACAAAAAAAACAAAATGCAACTCCTTGATACAATTTAAGCTACTGAAAATTACCTGGTAAATGCAGTTTTTCTTCTGCAGTATTTTGGTTAGATACTGTATTCTATTTTCTTTCCATTATCAGACTACTCTTAAAAATGTTATTTTTACTACAAAACACAAACATTAACAAGTAGAATGAAAAGCCCTGATGTACAACTCTGTCCACCTGAGCTGCCAGTATCTTAACCAAAAACAGATCAAAATCAGAAGTTACATTTTTAAATTTCTAATCAGAAGAATCTTTTGAACCTACATAAAGTTGACCTTTTATTGAGTTCAGTGTAAGAAACTCAGTAAAAACTAAGAAAGGAACCCAACAATTGTATTATACCCATCTTAATTTCTCCAGTTGAAAACATTAACAAAAAAGAAATGGAAACTCAGTGCTATAATGCTTCTTCAATATTCTACTCCAACTCATTCTAACGAAATTTTTATATACTTACTCTCGATGTGTTGCACAAATTTTAGTAAGCCGTTCAAAATCTTCACCATTAAATCCCTTTTCTGAATTCCTTAGAGGCGTAACTGTATGTGGTTGCACAGTTTTCCATTTTGTTTCTAAATTTAAAGTATTTGTTAGTCACTGGCTCTTACAAAACATATTTAGGAGCAAAAAAAAAAAAAAAAAAACAAAAACAAAATTAAAAAAACCCCCAAAAACAAAACAGTTAACTAGCACTACTTGTAAAGATTTGCATGCAAAATTATCTTCTCAAACAACCCAACAGTTAGAAATAGCTAACTTAGTACTTTTCAATATAAGTAAATATCCTAGAGATTAAATTAGCCAGTAGGACATGAAATGTGTTAAGAAGAAATGCAAATAGTTGCAAATATTCTTTTCTTAGCATTGATATGAAGAGCAAAATACAAAGAAAAAAGTCTTCTGACAGTAAAATAGACTTGTGGTAAAAATGCTACTTTCTTTGCAACATTAACTTGACCACAGAAACATCTATAATCTGATTTATAAAACCAGGTCAAATATGTTAATTTTGTAGATACTGACTTGTTGGATTACTGCTAATTCCACATTCCATGTTAGTCTGTACTTACCCCACTGTTCTTGAATGGCGGAAAGATTTGCGAGCAATTGCTCATGATACAATCGTTCTAGCTGAATGAATTTCATTGCTTTCTCATCTGAATAGAACATTTAAGGAAAACAGAAATCCAGACTATTTACATTATTCCTGTATTTGAAGAAAAATGTCCTAAATATGTTGAGAAATTTGCAGCTTACTAAAACATGAGAGGACTCTAAATATTTTTAAATTTAAACATATCTAAAATAATGTTTCTCAGTTTGGAGTCCCCCACCCCGGCCAGAGGGAGTCTTGCTCTGTCGCCCAGGATGGAGAGCAGTGATGCAATCTCAGCTCACTGCAACCTCTGCCTTCTGGGTTCAAGTGATTCTTCTGCCTCAGCTTCCTGAGTAGCTGGGATTACAGACACCTGCCACTGCACCCGGCTAATATTTTTATATTTCTAGTAGAGATGGGGTTTCACCATGTTAGCCAGGCTGGTCTTGAACTCTTGGCCTTGTGATCCACCCATCTTGGCCTCCCCAGGTGCTGGGATTACAAGTGTAAATCACTGCATCTGGCCTTTTTTTTTTTTTTTTTTTTGAGATGGAGTCTTCTTCTGTTACCCAGGCTGAAGTACAGTGGTGCAATCTCAGCTCACTGCAACCTCCACCTCCTGTATTCAAGTGATTCTCTTGCCTTAGCCTTCTGAGTAGCTGGGATTACAGGTGGGCACCATCATGCCCGGCTAATTTTTGTATTTTTAGTAGAGACAGGGTTTTACCATGTTGGCCAGGCTCGTTTCCAACTCCTGATCTCAAGCAATCTGCCTGCCTCCACCTCCCACAGTGCTGGGATTACAGGCATGAGCCACTGCACCCGGCCTAGTAATGTTTCTTGGTTTTGAAGTAGGCACATTTTAATGTAGCACATTATGCAATAGCTACTTGGATTCCACACTATCAGCAAACAGAAACTAAAAGAAGGTTTTTAGGGTTCAAGAAATGTCTGCTTGTTAATACATTTCTAGCAGAGGCAACTGTAAATAATTTAAGGAAACAGAACCCAGATGGAATCCTGGGATCTACATGTTTCCCTTTTCTATCCTTACTTCCTGTCAAGCAACTATGTGACTCTCTGGTCAAGTGTTTCTGCTTCAACTCACCTGATCCTTATTATTTCCCACTGAATGCTTTTCTCCCACAAGACCAAAGGATCACATGCCTAAACAATGACAGAGCAAAAACGTATATGGGTCTTTTGTAGAAACTCAATTAACTTGCCACAGTGATTTCCATTGTTATCACTTGATTATACTTCTATGCAGATGATCTTGTGAGCTTGTGCCTTCTCATCTGTATCACACAGATCGGCATCTTATGAGATCAAGATACATTGTCCAACTGCCTACCTTCCTCTGGGCAATGCTCTAAATGCTGGCCCAGGAAAAAAGGAAGAGAAAACCTCACTGTTCAGCTTTTTGTCCTTCCCATGATCACTCAGAAATTTAGTTCTCTCTCTCTCTCCCTCTCTTTCTTTTGAGACAAGGTCTCCTTCTGTTGCTCAGGCTGGAGTGCAAGTAACAAGATCATAGCTCACTGCAGCCTCAAACTCCTGTGCCCAAGCAATCTTCCCACCTCAGCCTCCCTAGTAGCTGGGACTACAGGGAGTGCCACCAAGCCCAGACAATTTTTTGCAGAGATAGGGCCTCACCATGTTGTCCAGATTGGTCTTGAACTCCTGGCCTCAAATGATCCTCCCATCTCAGCCTCCCAAAGTGCTGGGATTATAGGCACGAATCATTGCATTAAGCCTCATTTGTAGTCTTAAAGATATCCCAGTGGTCATATATATTAGGCCAAGAAGAAGGAATAATTCCTGTTTTTCCTTCTGCCCATGATTTAAAGAATACCAGTTGTGTCAAACTTTATTAACATAAAATTAACTGAAAAACATTTAAAGTACAGATTCATGGGTCTGATCACTAAAAGCTCTGATTCTGAGGTTTATGGATATGCATTTCTAAGAAGCTCCCATGAATTCTAATGCTGCCGGTCTACACTGCACTACATCATATATTCATTATTTGGTGACAAAAAAAAAAAAAGAGAGCTCCATCTTCATTTCCACCAGAATTAGATTTCCAACATACTCCATAATAAACTGCCATTGTGTGAAGTTGCAGCACAGCAGCTTGTGTGACAGGGTTCATGATAGTGACTGTTTATTCCTCAATCTGGTCAGAAATGCAGGGAAACTCAACAAAATTAGGAGAAAAAGCAAATGACACTAATGGAGAAAAACAGATGCTTATGACACATTCTTTCTAGAGACTACATATGGGGTCATCCCCACCAAAAGAAAAGCAATTTTTAAAAAGGAAAATCTTTCCGACAATCTCACTTGACAACATTTATTCTGTTTACTGTTAGTGAGGAGTTAATCTTACCTCTGTAATTATATGGCTGTAAGACAGTCACCAGATCTACTATCTGTAATATACCTGACATGCTCCACAATATGAATAGAACTCAACTAGTATGTCTGTTTAATTCAAAAGAAAGAAAATCCAATAGAGTTTAAAATTTTATTTTTCAGCAACATGTGCTTTCTTCTCCCGCTTAAATACAAACACTTATTTTAGTAAAATTAAGGCCTATTTATGAAGGTGAACTTTGGATGGTTCTAGGAAATTCTATGGAAGTGACAGAAATTTCCTACACGTTGCTTTCTGAGGTGGTTACATGAGTACATACAACTGTCAAAACCCATTCAATCTGTATGATCTGCACATTTTATTCAATGTAAAATATGCTTCAATTAAAAAAAAAAAAGAATGGTTCTCTAAGGGTTCTAAAAATTTCTTCCTGTACTTAGGAAAAGGATACAGTCCTCCTCCTGGAAATAGGACTCCGCTATCTGTTGAAAACAAACAAACAAACAAACAAAAAGAAAATTAAATTAATACTTGGATGAGAAAACAAATTTGGAACAAATTAAGATCTTTAAATTCCAAACGTTGTTAATATCAAATTAAGAAAACTCTTTTTTAAAACTACATTCATCAGTTCAGAAGAAATTTGACCACAGCACAGGATGCAATTCTTCAGTCGCTCATCTCAGGCAAAGCAGAGACGCTCTTTGGTGTTTACACATCATTCTTCCTACTCTTTCAAGTCAAAGCAAATTTCCCTGATTCATTAGAGTTTAGAACTCTAAAGAATGAGAAAGATGTTAGAGACTTACAAAAATATAACACAGATTAAAAATGGTTGTTTATTGTAAATTAAAAGCAGAAATATTCCTTTCAAATGCTATGACGCAAAAATAAATAAAAATAAAAAGTAGAAATATGTCACGTCACATAAGATCTCAACATCCTATTTATTTCACTCCTATTTCTCCAACTACTGGCTGAAGACCTCACAGGACACTGACTTTTTGGTCTGGTTTGATATTTAAGAAAAGGCCAGGCCAAGTGCCAACAGCTGAGTAATGTCATTTGGAATACGTACAAAGTGCTACACATGGTAAAGAATACTTATCTAGAGTTCCAAGACTCAGGAGCTGGTCTCAGTTCAGGCTTGTCCGTTATCAGATTCATTCTAAGACATCTTTACACTTAAAGATTCTTTGATTCTAAAAACGTTTGATATTTTTAGATCTTTCTTTAGACATGACATTTATGAGTGGATCACTAAAACTAAAAATATTCACTAAAATATTACATAAACTTTGTATTTTTAAAACAGTTTCTTGCCAGGCACGGTGGCTCATAGTTGTAATTCCAGCACTTTGGGGGGGCCAAGGCAGGTGGATCACCTGAGGTCAGGAGCTTAAGACCAGCCTGACCAACATGGTGAAACCCCATCTCTACTAAAAATACAAAAATCAGCCGGGCATGGTGGTTCACTCCTGTAATCCCAGTTACTCTGGAAGCCGAGGCAGGAGAATTGCTTGAACCCAGGAGTTTGACACCAGTCTGGCCAACATGGTGAAACCCCATCTCTACTAAAAACACAAAAATTAGCTGGGTATAGTGGCATGCACCTGTAATCCCAGTTAGTTGGGACGCTGAGGCAGAAGAATTGCTTGAATCTGGGAGGTGGAGGTTGCAGTGAGCTGAAATTTCGCCACTGCATTCCAACCTAGGTGACAGAGCGCGTGAGATTCCGTCACAAAAAACAAAGGAAAAAAAACGCAACTACAAACTTCCAGTGAAAGCATCTACGGGACCGCACAGTTTCCCTTCTATACCTGATATGAGAAACAGTTTCGGGTTGCCCATTAAAACATGACGTCTGGCTCTTCCAAGCCATTTTTCTTGCCTTTTTGCATTTGCGCACGATTGGCACATGGTTACTCATAAACAGTTCTTGTTTGAGGAGTTTTGACGGGGTCCATAACTATTATGTAACCAGATTTCCTGGCACTATAGAAATGTAATTTTCAATTAGCTTGCAGGTTTCTGCAGCAGTTCTAAGACTATAAAGTAACCATGCAGAAAAGGTTATGAAACCCAGTGCCTCAAAAGTAAAAGACATTTCCAGGTAAAAAGTCAGCTTGAGACATAAATATACAAAGTATTTCCCCTTTAAAAACCTCCCCCTTACAAGTCTAGCAGGAAGAGATGCGACTTTCTTTGATGAATATTTCTAAATCTGAAAGCTAGCCCAGCAGAGCAGAAAGAGCATGGGGCTGGAGGTGAACAACATGTGTTTTAGTCCAAGCCCTGCCACTTACCAGCTGTGCGGCCCTGGACCTGTCATTTCGCATCTCAAGCCTCAACTTTCTTATCTTAAAACAGGGTCAGTAATACCTGCATTTGTATAAAACAAGGCTGCCCAGGAGGCTGAGGCAGGAGAATTGCCTGAACCCAGGAGGCGGAGGTTGCGGTGAGCCGAGATCGCGCCATTGCACTCCAGCCTGGGCAACAAGAGCGAAACTCCGTCTCAAAAAAAAAAAAAAACAAAAAACAAGGCTGCCATAAGGATAGAAAGAATGTGTTTGCTGCCCAGGTACAGGAAACAAATTGAAATAAATAAATACAAATTAAAAAAGAGAGAGAGAACATACATCTAGCATAACGTCCAACACACTCTAATAAGCGCTTGAGAAGGTTTTTGAGTCCGATTCTTAATGAATTGCAAGATGTTGAGTGGAATCACGTGAAAAAGTTGAAAACTGCTGGGAGGACAACAGCTGTAGGGTTATCCTGGTTATCCTTCTTTTACCTATCAGGAACACTCTAAAAAAAAATAATAATAAAGCTGTGGCTGGGCGAGGTGGCTCACGCCTGTAATTCCAGCACTTTGAGAGGCCGAGGTGGGCGGATCACAAAGTCAGGAGATCGATTCCATCCTGGCCAACATGGTGAAACCCTGTCTCCACTAAAAATGCAAAAATTAGCCAGGTGTGGTGGCAGACACCTGTAATCTCAACTATGTGGGAGGCTGAGGCAGGAGAATCGCTTGAACCAGGGAGGCAGAGGTTGCAGTGAGCCAAGATCGTGCCACTGTACTCCAGCCTGGGCGACAGAGCGAGACTCCATCTCAAAAAAAAAAAAAATTGTGAAGGGCCACGGTCTAAATGTTTGTATCCCCCTCACAAATTCGTATGTTGAAACCTAATTCCCAGTGGGACAGTATGAAGAGGGGAGTCTCTGGGAGGTGATTAGATCATGAGGGCTCTGTCCTCATGAATTGGATTAATGCCCTTATAAAAGAGGCCCAAAGAAGGGCTTTTCTACATGAAAACCTCCTAAGCACATGATTTCACTTAAACATTTACAGCTAATCTGTAGTCATATTAACTAAGTCAGTGTATAAAAGACCCCTCATACCTAAGAACAAGAACTTTAAAACAGAATCTTTAAGAGTTCACCAGCTCAAAATAGAAGTTTATGTCGTCGGCCAGGTGTGGTGGCTCATGCCTGTAATCCCAGCACTTTGGGAGGCAGGCGGATCACCTTCGGTCAGGAGTTTGAGACCAGCCTGACCAACAAGAAGAAACCACATCTCTACTAAAAATACAATATTAGCCGGGCATGGTGGCACATGCCTGTAATCCCAGCTACTTGGGAGACTGATGCAAGAGAATCTCTTGAACCCCGGAGGCAGAGGTTGCGGTGAGCTAAGATCTCGCCATTGCACTCCAGCCTGGGTAACAAGAGCAAAACTCCGTCTCAAAACAAAACAAGTATATGTCGTCATATTTCCATTGACTTTTGGCACATATTATTTTATATATATCATTTTTAAAATAAATTTCCTAAAATTAGTTCTCACACTCAAATACCTTATTTCTGTTCATGGTACTATTCCCCCCAAACTGGATATCCTACAGTCATCTCTGATTTCTCCTTTGTGCCCTTTTTACAAGTGTGATGGTTAATACTCATTGTCATCTTGGTTGGATTGAAAGATACAAAGTATTGAGCTTGGATGTGTCTGAGAGGGCATTGCCAAAAGAGATTAACATTTGATTCAGTGGGCTAGGGAGGGCAGATCCACCCTTCATCTGATGGGCACAATCTAATCAGCTGCCAGGGAATATAAAGCAAGCAGAAAAATGTGAGAAAGAGAAACAGGCCTACTCTCCGAGCCTACATTCTCCTCCTAGGCTGGATGCTTCCTGCCCTTGACCATCGGACTCCAAGTTCTTCAGTTTTGGGACTCGGACTGGCTCTCCGTGCTCCTCAGCCTGCAGACGGCCTATTGTAGGATTCTGTGATCGTGCAACTTACTACTTAATAAACTCCCCTTTACTTATATAAATATATATAGGAGATATGTATATCATATTAGTTCTGCCCTTCTAAGAGAACCTGGACTAATATAACAGTCTATACCAAGTCCTAGCTATTCTTCCTTCCAAAGATCTCAAATCCATCCCTCTCCAATTCCACTGTCACTACTTTATTACCTTATAACTGAATTAAGTCTTCTTTTAGTTCTTATTTTCATCAACATTTTGTATGTGTGTGCTTTAAGGAGTCAAACGAATAGTTCTATAAACAGGAAAATGATAGAACAGCCTCTCCCCAGATTCTGTGATCCACTCTAAACCGAACTGGTTACCCTCTCTTTCCTGGATATGCCATCTTAAAATCTCCCTTCACTTAGATTTCCTTCACCTCTTTCCTGAGCAGGATTCCCAGTTTCCTGTTATCTCACACCTTCCTGTTTCTTGGTTTACCCCCTTGTTTTGCTGAAGTACATCATCTAGTGGCTTCCTAAGAAACAGCAGATAAGAGATACCAGAAGACCTGAAGTAGGAACATCCTTGTCATATTTGAGGAGCTGTCAGTAGGCCAGTGAACCTGGAAAGGAGTGAGTAAAGAGAACTTTAGGAATGGCAATCTCAGAGGGTAACAGGACCAGATCATGTAGTGCCTTGTAGGCCATGGTAAGGATTTTGACTTTTACTCTAAATGAGAAGGGAAGCCGTCGGAGGGCTTTGCACAGTGGAGTGACAAGATCTGACTTGTTTTATCTAGATCACAGTGACTGCCATGTAGAGGGAAAACACTAAATGGAAGGGAGAGTGAAAGCAGAAAAGTCTCCATAGTGAGACATTTACCTGGAACAATCTGGGTGAGATTTGATGGTGTCCTGCACTGAAATGGTAGCAGTGAAAGAGGTAAGAAGAGGTTCTGGGTATATTTTGAAGTAGATCTGTAGGACTTGCTGTTGGGATTGGACTTGGATGCAGGGAAAAGCAAATAAAGGATGACTTCAAGGCGTCTGGTCTCAGCAGCGACAGGAATAAAGCTGGCATTTAACAAGAGGGGTGAGACTAGGAAGGCAGGAGATCTGGGAGAACATCAAAGTTTGATTTTGTACGTCTTAAGTTTGAAATGCCCATCAGACATTTTGGGTAGCTGGATAGTTAAGTCTGGAGTTCAGAAAAGAAAAGAA